TCAATTTTTAGCGTAAGGATTTTAGAAAAAAGTATCGTCTTATAGTCAGAAAAATATGGTACTTCATGTTAACAAAGATTAACCTAATATTTGCTTTGATCACAGGGAATTACCTCCACCATCCACACATCATGTAACTACAGTAGTATTCCAAGAACTGGATATTGTCCAAACCTATTTTCCCCCAATTGGACAGAAATGGTCAACCACATAATTTAACTGTCCTTTCTTTTAATTTAAAGATAGCCAGTGAGATTGGCAATCCAAACTTTCTGATTTGTCCTGAGGAATGTCCTGCCACATTAACAGTAAATTTATTGCTCACCCTCCGGAAGCAGCAGCATGGAGGCAGGTCCTCCCGAGGTTATCTGGCGTATTGATATCAAAGCCTGCAGACAGCACATGCTCGTTGCTGAGTGAGGAGACAATGCTGTACAACTGACCTGAGAGACAGAAGAAAGTAAGCGGTAACTGGGAAATGTGATTAACATCATGATTCTGCCATATACGTATACCATGAAAATTATGATTTTGAACTGGAATTAAGTTTACTGAAAATGTCAACCAGCCTTTCCTTTTCTATACAGAGGAAGACCACACTACATACACAGATATTATGCTATTCCCTTTGGGAATAAAAATGTAATGGAAAACACAGAAAGGTATATAGTAAGCTCAATAAATAAAAGGTGTGAGATAAGAAAAGGAAATACAAGTAATCCAGTTTCTACCAACCCTATTTCCTATATCTTGCCATAACTTTCTATCCTTGCAAACCATTCCAACTTCCCTGTCTATATGCTGCTTCTTACATTGCCTTTCATCCTTTAAACTTTCCACCATTTTTTGAAGATCTCATCAATTCCATCCACCAGAAATTTTTCCATCTTCCTCTCAATCCATTTCTGTTTTGTGATTCAATCCTCATTTATTTTCTCTACATGATCAAATCACTTCAATCTATTCCTCTTAGTACTGATTAAGATTTTTTTCAAAAATTGGGCAGAAAATATTGCTTCAGGACAGATTTCTCTCCTCTGCCTCTCCCGCATATACAAAACCTTGTGTTTCATGTATTTGGATTGTCTTGCTCGGAAAGAAAAGAAATAATGGCCTCCACAACAATCTTTCTTTAGGCTACTTTTTTTATACCGAGGACTACAGTTGGCCTTTAAGTGATTTATCAAATGCTGGATTGTAAAAAGTACTGAGGCCAAGATAAAAAGTGAATGTTATTTAATTCACATTTATACTTAATTAAAATTATATTAACTATGCATTTAATAATTTACCCCTTCCACCACACTAAACACTGTAATTTGGATGCAACGTTTAGTGAGGGTTTTGCTGGCCATACACAAAAGTTAGAGTCCCTCTGCAGCCCTAAGGCTACAGGCTTACACCTTGAACTTAGGTTTTTGCTAAAAATGCTGCAAACTTGCTGACTACTAGGCAATCGGATCAAGTCAATTCCTCTGTTTTTTAAGCTTTCATAGTTGGCTTGCTCTGAATTCAGCCACATGTATAAAAACAACTGTTTCCTTATGAACCAACCCCCACTCCAACAGCAGACTTACCTGAGGAAAGTAGCTTACGACAACAGTCTGAGAATCCAAAGAGAACAGCTAAGTGCAGGGGGAACATGTCATGGATCCCACGCCTGAAAGAATAAAAGGTAAAAGCATGATGGCACACAAGGCCAAGGCTGCAAATAGAGCAGGAACAAAGAAAGAGATCTCCTCTTCTACCACATGGGCACACTGACTTCATGCATGCCGTGCATACATCAATTCTAAACTACCATCATCCTCAGCTATGTTCTGTTGTCAGTCAGCCACTGCTCTACTAAAAAGGCCAATGATGCCACCACACTTCAACCTAGCTGTGGCTGACTGGCAGAGTGCACATTTGGTTGAGCTGAGCATTACTTTAAGGCAATCATAAGTGTGGTTTATTCTGCTCTGAGGACTCTAATTGGTTAGGAGAAAGACAAGCCAGAATTCCAGGTCCACAAGTTAACACTAAACACGTGCGTCCCAAGAGATATTGGATAAGAAATATGTCCTCACCTTGCAGTGTCAGCACCATTCGTCATCAAAGTACTAATTAGCAGCTCGTGGCCATATCTAGCAGCAACATGGAGGGGGGTATTGCCATATTTGTCAGCGCAGTCAATCTCACTGCCTACAGAACAAACAGAATCCATCATTTTTTCCCCTTCAACCTGCTCAGAGGCAACAGGCAACTCCACTTTAGCCACCAGGAGATCAGAATGCAGTATGAAGAACTACTGACTGAATCATAAAGTTGGAAGTGATCGTAGAGGTCATCTAGCCCAACCCTCTGCTCAGTGCAGGGTGCGCTGGGAATGAATGTTTAATAACAGCAGAGACATGTATCTTTATGGCTAGCTTTCAGAACAATAAAGAGAAATTAATCAGAGCTCCTGTAATTCAAATGACAAAAATACAGAAAATAACAGATATAAGTAAATTCAAATACCTGCAGGGATTGGCAACCTTTTCAGACAGTGAGTGCCAATAAATAAATGACTGAAATCTTGGAGAGAACCCCAAAAACTTAGATGATTTGGCAGTCTTCCAAGATCTCAGCCTGTAAATACTGTAAAGTATTAGAGTGGTTTCCTTAACAGGAGACCGCTGACAACTTACCATTTTGTATGAGAATCTGAGAGCGTGTAAACCGTCCATGAATGGCAGCCATGTGCAAAGGACTCTTCCCTTCTTTACTCTGCAAATATCAAATTTAGTCAGCAAACAGACAGGTCTATTTGCCTTTCATCCTACCACTGTCCCCAGGAAGCTTAAGTCATTTCCATTTTCCCCAAGCCTCTATTGAATTCAGCACATCTGGTCATACCTGAAAGTTCACATCAGCTCCATTATTGACAAGAAGTTCCAGGCACAGGGCTCCGTTGGTGGAGACGGCAGCAAAGTGCAGAGGGGTAAAGCCCTTTTCATTGGGCTGATTGACATTGGCGCCATAGTTGACCAGTTCATTGGCCACGGCATCCTGGCCCATGTAACAGGCAATGTGAAGTGCAGTGTTGCCAAAGGAATTTGGTTCATCAATCTGTAAGGAAACATTGGAAGGTAACATTTGAATATGCTACACCTCGTGTTGTGCACGGGGTTTGGCCAAAAAGGGAAAAGCTCATATGCTGCTGTTGCCTGACAGCCCAACCTATTATACTCAAGCTTGCATTCTCCCCAAGAAATGGTCATACTTATTTACTTTACCATTAGTTATTTAAGATATTTATATCCTGCCCTTTAGGTTGCAAACTTTTACAAGGTAGCCTGTAGAACTGATAATAAATGTAGTGTAGCAAACATTAAACAACAAAACAAATACTTGAAGCAGAAACAGCAACAGCTAAACAAATCCAAGAAAAGAAATCAAGCACAAGTCTTAGAAGCAGGAAGCTGAAATACATATGTCCGTCTTATAGCATTGTTGAGGAGAGAATCCAAAAGGTTTGAAAAATCTCCAGCAAAATAAATCCATACATCTTTAGCCTGAAATATGGAAGTTGTGGATTTCCAGAGACTGAGATTTACAACTCCGTTATCCTGTCCACTGCCCATACTGCCTGAGGGTTTGGAGAACTGGATTTCAGCAATTTCAAAGGGACCCAAGCTCCCCACCACAGTTCCTTTACAGTACAGACTACACTTCCGTACTTGAAAGAAAGCCCAATTAATTTCAGTGGTGTTTACTCAAAAGAAAGAATACACAGAACTGAAGTCTTAGTTTGAAACCATCTACAACAACCTTCCTACAATAAACTTCTAGAAGTGTAGACATAGGCCCCATAATTTCTAGCTAAAAATGACTGTGCTTGTTGGGAATTATGGGGACTGAAGTTCTACATATACAGAGGAAACCAGGATGGAGAAAGCTCTCTACATTACATCTACCAACCAACAACAACTTGGTTTCTAATAGATATGCTATTCTCTTTTTTCTTTTTGGTTTTCAGTTCAAAGCTGAGTTTATTTTTTAGAATATTGGAAGCCTCCATTTAAAATCTTGTTTCTCCATTTTTCTATTCCACTGATTTCCTCAGAGCCCCAAATGTAACTTAGTTCCTCTGCTCCAGCTGCATATATCTCTGGTTTTCAATGTACATTCTGGGTAATCTCTTGCAGTAGAATTTGGAGGTCCATCTTGTGGGGTCTCAATCTTTCTTATCAGGTAGAAGTGTCTTCCAAATGGGTCCTGCTAGGTCTTCTTCAAATAGCATGGCACAGGGACAATCTTCCATCACTACAAAGGTAGTTTAACTAAAGCAGTTTCTGCTTGGTTTATAGCAAACCGCTTTTGTATTCGGGGTGCCTGGATCAAGTGAGGTCACTGACAAGTGAAGCGATGCACAGAGTCATCCTGGTTCCAATACCCATCTTCTATTAAATTCACTCACTTCATGGGGTGGAACAGCATTCACACTGAATTTAGTAAAGTCTTTACTCAGACATTTCTCTGATCCATGGCTTTTTGACTCAATCTGGGCTTTCACTTTGGGGCAGCCTTTCCTGAGATGGCCTGCTTCTTACACCTGGTCAGAAAGCTTGCCCCGATAGCAGATTGGATGGTACCTGATGTGGTATTTATTATTTATTTACTTTGATTTATGTGCTATTCCACTGCTAAAGACTGCTTGTATATAACTGATCTTGATGTGGAGCCATTGTTGTTGGATGTAGTACAGCCCATGTTAAACATGGCTCACTGGGTTTCCTCCCACTTCAAGAATAATTTGGCGGGATTACATTAGTGCATTTCCAATGCTCCCTGAGGTCCAGGATCCAGCAGCTTCTGGGCCATTTCTCCTACTATTTCTGTGGTCTTCAATCCCACCTGGAAGACTTGATCACAGTTGATTAGGTAGATGAGTTACAAATTATATAAGATTTATCAGCTTAGTGACTTCATCATGTTCAAGGTAGATAATAGATGCCCTTTTCATTCTGCGGATGAAGGCCTGATAAGAATCAGGTATATTCTGCCATAAACTACTAAAACTTCTTCTGGTACTTTCTGGTGTTGTTCTTAGCTGAGACTACATCTTGAATACAATTGCCCATGCCACCTTACAACAATATGGAACCCATTAAACATGGTCTCAAAAACTGCATATACTTATCTTCTCCCAACCTGTAGCTGATCAAATCTTCTCAAAGTTGTCCAGGATGTGGTCAAGAACCTCACCCTTCCTGTGTTCTGGAATCCTGTACCCTTTCACAGAAGTTGATTGGAGTGTTGGATTGGCTGCATTACAAGGCACTTTGCTCTTCAACTGCTCCATTTTTAACTGGTGAGCATGCCCCCTTTCTTCTCTTTCCAGAACCAATTTTTCTGATCATTCCTCTAGTTTAATTTTTTAAAACACTTTCCTCCTTCTCCAGTTCTATTTTTTCTGTTCCCTTTGGAATTCCATTCTTTTTAACCGGAGCTAGATTTCCAATTTCTTTAGTTCAAGTGGGGCAGTAACTGGTTTGCAGAGCCCCATCAGGGTGACTGGGTTTGCTGCCCTGGCTTTAGACACAAGAGTCTTGGAGTCCAACATGTTTGCCTTTGAGATATCTTCTATTGTTGGGACAGGCAAAGTTGTCTCTCTACTTCTCAACAGCATACAGGAAACCTCTCCCCCTTAACCCAGACTCAGCTATCTTACTGAATCTAGATGACTGAGTACCACAGGGTAGAAGGTGGAAAGTCCCAAAGCTTTCTCCCAGAAGCCCAGGATTTATACATCCCAGCCCTGCCTCTTACTTTAAAGTAGCAGCTTGATAGTTCTTGCTGCTACCATCTGTCTTGCTGCTACCTCAGTGGTGAGACTGATAGGACTCTCCCACCCTATGCTACCTTTATGGCAATTAGAGGATGGCACATGTAACACCTTTGCTGCGGGAGCTGCACTGGGTTCCAGTTTGTCTCCG